CCTCCATGAGGATTTGTGCCTCCGACGGGGAAAAGTACGCCGCTCTAGTTGCCATGGTGAATCAGTGAATCTGTGATCGGTGGCGGGTCTATTTGAGTGAGCCGTGAACGCGCACATATCCAGGATTGGTTACACCTGGCTTGATGAATCCGTGTCTGCTCATCCTGGCTTGGTCTTTGTGCAACCAATTAAGCCTGGACGCACGTGTTTTGGATTCATTGAGCTCAGCTCAGTCATTTATCGTGGATGTCTTAATCCTACTTTTGTGCAACAGGCCCCAGGTGCATCTGTGGCCAGTGTAAGAAAACAATGTAAACAAAATGAGAAACTCATTTTCACACCAGATGTAATGGGGGATTGCTAGAGGCGCTGCCAGGTGGATTTAGCTCTTTGGACAGGCTAGCTAGAAGACCCTCCCTTATTATTAAAGCTGTAATAACTAATTTCTTCCTCTAATTAGTCTCATACGTATGTATAACATTGTTGTAGCGGATGTATCTGCAGTAACACTTGCAAATTATACAGAGGAATGTTTTTACCTGTAATCCCGATAGAACACTAATGTTTTGGCCACTATCACATGGCATTGCATTCAGTGTTACTTACTTGTAACACAGGTAACTGAGTTGTATGTGAAATGAGAAATTTCACCTTATGCTTTGGTAGTTTAACTCCCCACTTTTCTAGTTGTGTTGATGGCATACATTTTAATATCATTTAATAAGTAGAATGCTACATGGACTGTAGTGTTATGTCCAACATAATGAAACTGTGACCTGGACCAAAATCGGGGAAAAATTAGCAAGCTAAGCAAAATGACTTTGCTAATCAATGGAAATGTGCTCGTTTCCACTAATTAGACAATAAAACACTTTACACCGCAGTCAGTTGTGGAATGACTGCATCTTCCAAAAAGAATAATTCTATACATACCATAGCTACAAAATCTAAATGCTAATGTTGGCTTGCCTGTGATGCTGACATACATGCTAGCTACCTACTTATGCATCTAGAAAGAAGAAAGCCACATCCATGTCAAATTTTAGTCCTGTGGATGCTTTGTGCTCTCCATCACCGACATGCCAGACCGATGCCGTTTCCCCCTCACACATGCAGTTAGCTGTGTTTATACAGGTGTGAAGTCGCAGACATTTAACCAATCACCTGTGACTGCTCTGCAAGCTGAGACATAGCTGTCTGTGATTGATCTGCTAGCAGCTACTCACATATGAAAAAACATTGGGGCAAAGTGGCACCACTTGGCAGGACTGACTGTGTATTCTCAGCCTAAGTGGTTACACTCTGACTTGAAAAATATCAGCATTAATGACGTGGCATAATGCCAGTTCTAGGAATGAAATAACAGCTTAGACCCTGGCTCAAAATCTAAAGCTGTGTCCGAAACCGCATACTGTGACAGTACGTACTGAAAGAGATGAAGTACCTACTTACTGACCGTTAAAACAGTAGGTACTGTATAGTATGAAGCCTGGTAGTATGAATGAGATTCGGACGTACTACATCCGCCATGTTGATACATCACGTGACATATGTTTTCATAGCAGCGTCTTCTTCGTTGGATAACTCCTCTCCCGGGGCATCATGGGATAGTGAAGTGTCCATCGTATGCACACTGCAAAATCCAGCCGGAAGCAGTAGGTCATCCGGGTACTTTTCGCCTACTGTTTTTGGAATACTACGAATCCGGACATACTACTCGCCTCGCCTACTGCTTTTCGCCTACTATACAGTATGGTAGTAGGCGGTTTCGGACGCAGCCTAATTTCCGTATCCTGACTACTACTTCTTTTCTGTGCTTTGATGTGGGAGCGCCCCCTAGTTAGAACATTAACATTGTACAAGTATAAATGTGACACCTGTGCAACCTTCTCGGAACGACAGACCTGCAGCCAGGAGAGGTATAAAAAAAGCTGGACTCGGCACGACATGTTTCGATAGGTTCCTATAATGGAAAAACCCCTTTATTGTACCGAACGGTGATTTTTGTGTACCGTTACACCCCTAGCAGTTTTGTAGTCCTCCGCCCCTCACCGTTTTAATATTTTCAGCATGTTAATCATTTACATGGGTTTAACTCTGCAAGTGTTTATTTTTCTATATTTGATATGAAACTGACCAAACAGCTTTGTGATTTTTTATTTTTTTTTGTTTTTAATTCATTGGTTAATTTTTAACTTAAAACTGTAGACCTTCTATTATAACGTGTGTCCAAGGTACTAAAGTAAATGTAAAGTTACACAAGTCAGTTTGTCTGGTGAGATTTAAATATTTAAACTCTGGGTTTTAGATGTGAAGTGTTGAATCTGAATAATTTGTCTTTAAAGATTATAAATGTTGTATTTAATCCTTCTTCCGGCTGTTCCCGTTAAGGGTTTCCACAGTGAATCATCTGTTTCCACCTAACTCTATCCTCAGCATCCTCTACTCTCACCCCAGTTAACTTCATGTCCTCTTTTAGCACATCCATATATCTCCTCTTTGGCCTTCCTCTTGACCTCTTGCCTGGCAGCTCCATCTCCAACATCCTTCTACCAATATAACCACTATCCCTCCTCTGCACATGTCCAAACCATCTCAGTCTGACCTCTCTGACCTTGTCCCCTAAACAGCCGACCTGAGCTGTCCCTCTGATGTGCTCATTCCTAATCCTGTCCATCCTGGTCCCTCCTAAACAGAACCTCAACATCCTCATCTCTGCTACCTCCATCTCTGCCTCTTGTCTTTTCCTCCCTGCTACAGTCTCTAACCCATACAGCATAGCTGGTCTCACTACTGTCTTGTACACCTTTCCTTTGATTCGTGCTGCCACTCTTCTGTCACACAACACTCCTGACACCTTTCTCCACCCACTCCAATCAGTGGATCTAAAACATAATGTGTAATGCAGTGTTTACTGTGGTGCTTTGTGGATGAAAGGTGGGGAGGGCATGACACGTGCTATGACGTAGTAACATTGTCCATTCACATGGAAAAATTATCAAAAAGATCTTAAAATGGCTAATGCTAACAGCTACGTGTCATTGCATGAAGCACAAACGCCAGAACTGGACCAGGTGGTTGGATATTCAGTCAGAAAGGGCATCGCAACAAATCATTTAAAAAGGTTTTTGACCCTAACCTTCCATGTGAATGAATGTTAACGTTTCTTATCATTGCTTGTAGCAATAGCATGCGTTATGTTGTCCCCACCTTTCACCCACAACGCACTGCGGTAAACATTGCGTTACGTCAGTCTTGGGTTCATCAACTGGTGTGATTAAACTGCTTCAGTTTTACTTTGGTAGCACAGGGAAGCCAAATAGGTTAAAAAAAATGTCATGAATATTACTGTTAAAATTCTCCCATTTTGTTACTGAACTTCAGCAGAAAATGTCAAGTTTCAGGTAAGAATTGTTTTTACTTCCATCACTGTCCATTAAATTTACATTTAATTAATGGAGACGGATCACTCACCTTCTGCTGAAGTAGTTGCAGGAAATAATCAAATCAGAAGAGCTTATTGGAAAAAAGCAAGAAACTGATGTGGAACCAAAACAATTTTATTTACAAAGACAAATCCCTTAGTCATTTTCACCTCATAAAATAACAAAACTGTAAAGACAAAATAACAGGAAGTCCAAGGGTCAGGCTCCAAAGTGACACCAAGTTAATCTCAGGTGTCCAGGTCAGATCAGGTCCGCCACTGCAAAGAGAAAAACAACCCTGTCAGTACTGGCAGAAGCATGGGCACCGGGGGCGTGGTCTCAAAGCGGCCGGACTGTGTTGTGTTAAGCTTCTTTACTAATATTCAGGATTGATCAGTGCTGAATAATTAAAACTGGACTACAAGTAGATTAAAGTGAGTCTGTGAACATAAGCCGCTTATAGTCTGAACTTTTTAAATCACCGTTTCAGTTGAAATACACATCTAAACATTCACACTGTTTTCACCTCAAAGCTTTTTCAGCTTCAAATATCACACTTTGTTTTGGACTGAGACAAACCTGATGAAAACAAACCGGCTTTCATGACTGAAAGAAATGTAGACATTTTTGATTTTCCTCTGACACCATCGGCATTAACAAGTGACATCAGCAGCAGGCCTGTGATCAGCTGACCCTTACCGTTCATGGGCATCTCGTCAATCTGGGTGGAGTAGTACTGCTCGATGTCACGCAGGATCCTGATGTCGTCATTCTTCACAAAGTTAATGGCCACACCTTTACGGCCATAACGGCCAGATCGACCAATCCTGGAGCAAGAAGTCGGATGTTACCCAAGGTCATCACAAAAACACTGAAACACCAGC